ACATCTTGACACTCGAGAATAAAATACGATCTTCATCATCATATATCTTAGAGCTGCTAGAGATATAATAGCCTTAATATATCTCTAACTTTCACAGAATGAAGACTGCCGGATATCATTTGCATGTGTGGCTCGGCAATGGATCTTAGCAACTGGGGGAATTTGGCAACAGAAATGATTTGTTTACTTCTGTTCCTATATGTGTGTTTTCCCCCCTTTCCTCATGTATGGGTGAAAGTGTTTAAAGTAAGTCATTATCTAGAATTTTCGTTGTTTAGTTAGTTAACGGTGTAAATTGTATTTACATGTAAACTGTTTGGAACCGAAACTCACAGAACCATTTTTCAATCAGTTATTTCAGCAACCATTAAAAGTTTTTATATAATAATGCGTAGGCACGTTAAATTGAAATTAATTGATAATTGCTTTTCGCTGTTTTAATTAAAGTTAAGGTATATGCCTACGTACGAAGCACTTTTTTTTAAATACATAAAATTTTAATTAAACGCGCATGTTTTTGAGTAAGATGGGGATATAAAACTATGAATTTAAATGGATTTTACCGAAATTTTCATTAATTTTTTTAAATATAGGCAATATTTTGAAAACTTTTAGTGAAAATTTTCCTTTACGCCACATCTCCTGTAATAGATTCTAATGGATATACTTCAGTAATCTTTACACAGTATATAAATAACATACTTACCTGTATTCTGTAGCAAATGATTTGCTGTGCTTATAAATTTTTTGAAATATTCCAAACTTGCTACAAAAGCTCAAAATCAAAAAAAAAGGAACTACTCTTATATGCGCCCTCTGGTCGCCACATGTCCTCGGTGCCATATTACTATCTAAATTTTTGTGTCTACATTTCAAACTTTAAGTAAGTAAAATGTCTCCAAAAGCGCAGTTTTCACATATGCAAAAACCACATTTTGAACACACAATTTAAGCTAAAAATCCGAAACAAAAAAATTTATATAGCAAAATGAAAGTTCTAGCCAAAAATATTGACAAGACCATGACACGCGATAGTTTTTACTTAAAAACATCTACGAATTGAACACTTAGCCATAACGGAATCTATGAACAGCGCACACAACTCGCTTTTAAAATAATTAACATAAAACACTAAGTTTCAAGAATACCATGGACAAGCTTTTGTCATTAAGATTATCAAAAAAAAAAAATTACGAATGCACATCTAGTATTGCACACAATAACGAAAATACAAAGTACAAGATTCAAAAAACAACAATTAACAACGGAAATTCATATAAAAAACAATGAACAAACTTCTACAAATAAAACATAAAATAAACTGTACTACCAGAATGGATGTTTCTTCGACACAGAACGTAGGCTAATCTTTGGATATGTAACAGTTAGTTTGGGACATTTTGATACGGTACAGTAGGACTTAAGCAGTGTACAGGGAAACTCAAGAGTCGTGCGCAATGTCATGTAGCAATTCTGAGATGTTTTTTTTAGTAAAAGGTGCGTGTACGTGGAAGATACCGGTGTGCAAGTATAAAACACGGCAAGCAGTGGGGCGATTTGCACTTTCTCCCCAATTTTGCACTAACTTCGTCATGATTAAGCCTTGTTCCATAAAAAGTTTAGCATAAGAGTAATTCGGCTAGCAGATTGTTGGAAAAAAAATGTGAAAAAACATGCCTTACTTAGTGGAAACAAAAAATGGCCAAAAAAAAAAATAGCAGTTGCGTAGGGGTTGGTCGCCAAAGTTTGCCAAGTTACCATAATCGAAGATTACCGAACGTATCTTAACATGGGCGCCATGTACTCTCTATGGTATTTATATGACAGCCAAACTCGCTATCCAGAAAATTCATACTATGGTTCACAAATAAATCTTCAAAACCTTCTTTTCCTAAATTCTTGTAAGATTTCCAGCCGTATGAAAAAATAGTTGTACAAGGCTCAATCCACTCTTTAATACACTGCACCAGCGTTTCCTTACTTCTATCATGCACAACCGCAAAAAATAATCTCCCAGACCCTCTTGCAACCATGTCTCTCATTGCAATATAGGCTATTTCTAAACATACATGACACGAACCAATGAGCAATTAAACCACTCCAGCAAAAGAGTTTTCAATTCGAAAGGGTTGCTATACAACACTCAATCAAAAATCAGCACAGAACACATATCGCTACATATGGTGATTTTAGGGCGCATATAAAAGTAGAGCCAAAAAAAAAAAAGTCCTCTTCAAAATACTGTCAATAAAATCAATAAATAAATACAAAGAGGTCAGATTTTGCTACAGAACACAGTTAAAGATGATTAAAACATTTTGACAAAATTTAATTTCAATATTCTAAATACATTTTGAGAAATGAATATAATCACAATCAAACATAACGAAAAACATAGTTTCTTAGAAAATGCATTTAAAGATTTTTAATACAGCAAAAAAAAATTTTGTAGCCATTTTAGACCTTTAAAACTCGCCATATTTGTGTGTTAGGCATTCTTTTGCTTCGTTTTTAGCTAATTTTGACTTTCTTTTAGCTTTTTCCTGGATAACATTGTTGCTTGTAGAGATTGGCGTTTCAATTTCTGAATTCGCTGTTTGTCTATTCCCATGTAGCTTTCAAACACAATGGGATTAATTTCTATTTCTTTTACCTGAAAATAGGTAAAAGTCCTAAATATCCTGAATTAAACAATAATAAAGCAATATGTACATTTAAAAGCAATGTTTTCAGTTGGACAAAGGTTTCTTTAGGTAAAATAGTTTACAAAAGGTTATTAAAACACACATTATTGTTCTGTGTCTTCCCAAGTAGGCATTTTATCATCAATTTCATGTCACAAACTCTTTCATGTCTCTTTAAGTGCCAACTTCCGTCATCCGAAACTTCACTTCCAGTTCATTATTTATACCAGTGGTTTTCAACCTTTTGACTAATGTGTACCATCTAAACAAAAATTGAAACGCTTTTAGTACCACCACTATATTTTACAATGATTATTTTTCAATTTCTCAATAATAATATTTTTTAAAAAATGCATTTTTCCATTTGCACAGTCTATTGGCTATATTAAATATGTACACATAAAACATATTAGATTAAGAATTGGTTACTATTTTAATTATCAAATTACAATACTTTAATTCCAAAATTAAGTGTGAAATTCGGGCCTGTTTAAGAAAGATCAATTTCTTTATGTCCGGTCATATTTCAGTTAACCATAAATTAGCATCCAATTTAAATTTTATTCTGCATTTATTTTTCAGATGAAACGTGGAAGAAAATACTTGTTCACACAAAGAGGTTGTGCAAAAGGGCAATAAAAATTTAACAACTTTATTCGAAACGCCTTTAAATTCTTTTTTTGCGTTCAGCCAAAAGTTAACGAGTGTGTTATTTTTTAAATGAGATCAATCACAGGAAATTTCAATCAATTGTTCTTTTTCTTCGCAAGATTTTTGAATTTAATTGTTAAAAATACTTTGTTTCTTTGTGTATCACCTATTTTCTCTTGCGTATCACAAGTGGTATGCATAACATCGTTTGAGAACCGCTGATTTATAGTATAACTTTGCTTCCAGTTATTGTAAAAACAAATATAAAGCATTTTTGGAAACCTAAAAGTGTGGCCTATAAAATGAATAAATAAAAAAATTCGAAAGTTTTCACCAAAATGACAATTTTAGGGTAGGCACATACATATCTTAATCTGGTGGTTTTTAATAATTTAAACAGCTCCAGATTAGTATGAATTGGAGTTTCATACTAATCTGTAAGAAAAGCAATTTTTTTTTCTTATCTAGAATGGGAAAATGAGGGTTTTAATTTTTATAATGAATGAAACTTTCAACGAATGTGTGGGTGTATTTTTCCTAATGCAAATTTAATACAGTCAAAAGTCGTTAATCCGGACTCGTCGGGACTTCGGCGATTCCGGATTATCGATTTTTCCAGATTATAGATCATCAGTTTAAATCTGGTTAAAATGGCAGCACCTTAAAATTAAAAATATGAACCGTAATTACGAAATAAAGAACAATTATTAATTTGACTAAAATACAAAAAAAAAAAAAAGCTTAATATTTTTTGTGGTTATCTTTCTTATGGTAACGGCGATTTTTGGCGAAAATTTGCGACCAACTCTCCTACAGCAAACCCTCTATTTTTTTTTTCCCCCCCCATTTTGTCTTCACGAAGTAAAGACATGTTTTTTCTTTTTAGCTACTGAACACTTCTTCCAACAATCTACTAGCTGAATTACATATGCTAGAAATTATCTAACAAAACTGTTAATCATGACAAATATTCACTGCAAAATGGGAAAAACACAATACCATACTCCTTACTCGTTTTTCAAAATACACATAGACATAAACCATGTACACGTCGACTTATTTTTTTACTTAAAAAAAATCCCACAATTATGCAAAAAAAGGCATTGCGCACACTCTTCACTATATCCATGTACACTGCTTTTCTCATAATTAAAAATTTCACAAAATACTGACATTTTCTGAATCTTTAAAACGGTTAAAAGAACATATAATTACCTGCGCTGAAAGATATACCCTTCCAATTGAAACATTTCCACATATAAAATAAAATATCAAAAACTTTTACTCTAATCATATATTTAGATCACGTCACCAACAAATTCATACCGCAAGCATTACAAATACTTACGTCAAGTATTTAATTTTCAATGCAGTTTACTTCAACTAAAACGTACAAATTCCTACAACATAATTCACAAAATAACTATCGTTAATTAAAAGATAATTAAATTCAAAAAAAACTAAAATATAAATAAACCCATACATTAAATTAATAAAATTAGCTTTACCTCCTAATTACTTTAACTAAAATTGCTAATACAATTTTCCCAATAATACAAATTCTTACTCCACCTTACATTTAGAACAATCATAAAAATAATATCCTCAATAATTAAAAATACAACTTACCTAACCTCTTCAGATCTTGATTACATGGCCAAAACTTTCTTATTTCCTCCCCTAAAAAAAGCAAGTGTATGTGCGCCTGTTCGGATCTTAAAATCATACTTTATTCACAGCAAGGACCAGGTAAAATAAATAACTTATAAACATCTTTACTTATATCTCGCACACCTTCAAAAACTTATACTACCCCTTCAATCTCACTAAATACCCATTTCGAATTCACTTTTAGGGCCATGGGATACAAAAATTAACCAAACTGTTTGACAAACACAGAAAAGCTAAACAAATTTCAGATTTTTTCCCGATTTCCCCCTTTTTCCGAGTAAAGAACTGTAATTCGTCCATTAATATACATGACATTATCCATGATCTCTCAATTCCCTCACACAAAATAATGCGTAATCGGAACTGAGTACTACTACATTATTACCAAGTCCCAGGTAGAACCTTTATCGCCTCCAAAAATGTTCGCAAACTACCGTTACCATAATTCTAAAGATCAGCCTTATTGTTTACTTACTAAACATTTCTTTCAATGTAAGTGTTTAATTGCTTCGTTTTTTATGTGATAATACATTCTCTTTAATTCTATAACAGACATAATTTCTTGTTCAGTTACAAAGTTCCACTGTTCAAGTCCTATTTGCTGTCGAGATACTGACTAATTTGTCAATCGAAATTTTTTTCATTTTCACTAACCTCTGTACTTTCTTCGCTATCGGAAGCGAATTATAATGACGAGGCATTTGATTTAAATCATATCAAAGACGTATTTCGTAAGCAATTATAAGCCAAATAAAATAAAAACATCTGCCCTGAAGATAAGGATAGTTCTGACAGATCAACTTCCAATTAATTGCGCACCGCTTGCGTTAAAGAATAAACAAAAGGAAAAGGCTTTTTTTCATTTTTCAGCAATTCCACTTTTTTGTTTAATGGACTCCGAAACATTCTTTCGCTTTGTAGATCCTTACATATTAGTAAATATAATCGGAAATTCTATTTGACATAATCGAAAGTTTCAAGCTTACTTTTGTAAAATTGCTCACAGAGTCGCAAAAAATAATAAGCCGGATCCAATTCGAAGATTAAGGAACAACGCAATCTGCAACATTAACTGAAATAGATAATTAGAGCTTAGCTTATACCGTCCGTTATGCATTAAACGCGCATTCGTAAACGTATATTGCGCACACGCGAATTCGCAGCTGTAAAGGTCATACGCGCATCGACGCATGCGCAGAAAGTTTGTAGCTTTGAGGTCCGGATTATGGGTGTCCGAATTAACGACTTTTGACTGTAGTTGTATAGGGGAACAAACGTATAATTTTTTCTTAATTTGTCATTGATTTGAGAAGTTATTTATTCACATCGATGCAAGTTAATACTGGTAATCTGAATACGATTCAAATTTTGTGAATCTGCACTTATTGCCTATATGTAACAAGTCATAGCAATATTTAAATAGTTTTGTCTAATCTTCAGTATTCTGTGTCAACTAATCCTTGCTTTTCAGTTCAAAATTTTACTTCAAGAATTAATTACCAAAATTGGGCTAAAGTGTAGCTACAGGTAAAATACAAACTAATGGTTTATTTGAATCTATCTTAAGGGGACAAGAAATTAGCGTAACTTTTGTTGGAGTTTTTAAGAAATACTAATGACTTGCTCATAAAATCGAACTTTTTGCCTTCTGATAAAATTATCTTAAGTATAAGTTGCTAAATGGTATATAGATTTTGGGCATATCAAAATTTCGTTAACTGTGGGTGGATCAGGATTTAAGAACTGTCCAAAAACACATTTTTAACTAGGATATTTATGCAAAAGCCAAAGCGTAAGATCAGGTTGTAATTTTAAGTAAGTTACTTCTTACGAAATGGATATAATCTGCTGTAAGCAAGAGACATGTTGCTGATTTTCTGTTGAATCTAACTTTCTCTCTCTCTGATATAACAAAACTAACTACTTTCTGCATCAGCTATAAACAGATATTTATTATTCACATTAAAGATGGCTTAAGGTTTAGAAATCATCAGGTTAACAGAATTTCTCAAAGGCAGAGGTATAATATCAAACAGCTGACATTGTCTCACTGAATACTTCATCAGTGTGGCTTGCTCTTATTGTTAATTTAAACGAGATTTTTAATAACTCCCCTCTCCCCTGAAGGTAACAAACAGAAGATTGAAGAAGAAAAAAATTAAATTAATAAAATATTTTAAATTAAACTAAGAGGAATTAGCTGTAAAAATTATTTAACTTTTATTCATCCCATTATATTTTCTATCATTCTTAGGGTAAAAATGTAATAGGATTCATAATAGATAAAAGATCATGAATTCTTTTGAGCAAGGTGGTATTACAATTAACACACGAGCTTATGCCAGAATTATCTTTTTCTCTTAAAAAAGCTGTATGAGTGGTGATTTTTTTTCAAAAAGACACATAGCAAATTTATGAATTGATGAAATTTATTTTTCATAAAATATGTTGAATTAAGCTGTCATCTATGTCCCTATAATAGGTATTTTTTAAAAAACAAGATTAAAGGATGAAGCTCACTTCTAAAAAGAAGGTTGCAGCTAAAAAATAATTAATTAGTGAGATATTTTTTATAGCAGTGTGTATGCATATTTTTTTAATAGAATTCTTAAAGGAATTTTTTTTACTGTAGTTATGTTTATATATGTATCCTTTTTTTAAATGGATCTGAGATTTATGCTTTTTGTGCAGATTTTTGTATTCATAAACAATTTATTTTTAACAACTACAGTGAAAAACAATTATATTTGTATTCTTAAGATTAGTTACTCATTATTCTGAATTAGAATGGCATACCGCAAAATTTATTTAAGTTTTATAAATTAATAAGTTTATTTTGCATTTATATTAAAGTAATACATAAAAGGTACAAGATCGTTATTATGTGGCTTGCTATTTAATAATTGCTACTGTCTCTTTTAATATAACTTAAAATCAGTACTATGCATTAATGCCATAACTAAAATGTTAAACATTTTTATCTAACTAGACAATTGCTGAAAATGCATTTTATTTTAATTTTAGAAGATTTTATTGCCAGGCATGTATTTTCTGTTAAATAATTTTGTTATAAAGAAACATTTTGGATATTTTTAAGGCATAATAACATTGCATCCTTTAATATGATATAAATGATTGCTATGAATTTTTAGTGCGCAGTATAATTCTTTTATTTTTACCAACACTTTTATTTATCTAAGGCATTTTCTACATGGCTAATGGAACTGAAAACTGCGTATTTTGCCGCATTAAAGAAAACTTAGATACATTTGTGTATGAAGTAAGTGAATTTTTTTTATAATAGAACTAGGTTATGAGGATATTAAAACAGTATTTGCAGCTAGTTGATCTGTGAATTTTCTTCAAAAGTGGATTAAATTATCTCTTAAAGTGATTTAAAATTTTCTTACCAGTTAATCCAAATAAAATTTCTTCATTAAAAAGTGTTGGTGGAAAGTTACTAAATGAAACTGAAGTTTGCCTATTAAAGTAATTTTAACAAACATCAGCAGTTGCATTATCTTCATAGATTTCTCTTTCACTGATAATCTGTTTTGTTTCAACAGCAATTTTTTAGTGGGGAAGGAGGAGGTAAAAAAAGAAAGTATCTCAATTTTGCTTAGAATAAAATATGGTTGTGATATTACCTGCCATATTATAAATTTTAACTGTACGAGTAACTTCTCAAATTTAGAAAGCTTAGTGAAGGATGCCAATTTTCAGTAAATTCTACTTTTTTTCCAGTCTTGCAAATATTTACTAACATTTAATTTATGATCTTGATTTATATGATAATTTATTTTATTATTTATTTTCTCACATTGTGAAAATTATTTCTGAATCATAAAGTAGCCAAAAACAGAAAATATAAGACATAATGTCATCCTTAGAGTATACATAAAACCATACTGTAAAGGAATAACTGCTTTTTATTAATTATTCTCTCTGTCAACTAATAGGTGCAAGAATTCTATTTATTGGTCAAAATTTGAATATAACCTATGTTAGATAACTCTGTTATGCCACACATCTTTTGAGTGGCATTGGGAAGTATCTGTTATTCATATTATATCATCGGGAATACTGGTGATGGTAACTTTGATGTAGTTTTCCCAATTTTCGTATAATGGTTCTGTGGTTGCATTTTGGTGATAAAACATCATTACTTGACATTTTGCCAACTCTTATCTCTAACTATAGTTGCTAGCTTCGACTACAGAAATTCCTGTAAGCTGTACTTATTTATTTGACGATACTTCTAAGTTATATGTGATCTTGGTGAGTGGCACATTTTTACCCTTACGAGAAATAAATAGTTGCCAATCTGCTCATGGGTACATAATTTGTTTCTTCAGCTAGTGAAACTTTTTTCAGTTATGCTTATTATTTTCAATCTCTATTTTATAGAGATCAGGTAGTAGGGACCATGAAGTGGTCAAATTCCTTGAATATATGTCTGTCTGTTCATTGAATGAACTGCTTGTGTGTAAGAGTAGCTGTCTGTTTCTTGCCAAGGCAATTTTAACACAGATGAACATATTTGTCATTATTAATTAAATGCTTAGCTGCAAAAGTAAATAAAAATTAGTGAGCAAAATTGAGATGAGTAAATGAAAATTGTTGCCAGGAGGTATTTATTTTTATAAATATAACAAAAAAAGGAACCATTAGAGGTAAGAAACTGACAATTAATTGTTGGCAAAATGTCAGTGGAAATGTTTTATTCCCCCAAAGCATTTTTTGCATAAAAAATATATCATTAAGATAATTTGAGGGATAACCAATAAATGTCTAAAACTGTTGTGCTTCAAATTGTGGCAGATGGAACTGTAATAAATTTAATCCTTTGAATAAATTTTAATCCTTTGAGGACCAGCACATGGGGACCGAAGCACAGCCATGGGACACCCCCCGCCCCGAAATTAAACTTTGCCACCTGCCCACCCATTTTCAGCAGTTAAGCCTACTTTTACAAAAGAAAAAAAAAAAAAAAAAAAAAAAAAAAAACACAAAATCATCATTTTAATATAATGACTTCAATTTTTGAAGTTACATACTTTATACTAATTCTTAGTATGTATTAATATAAAGATTATCACATAATAGAAATAAATGAAACATGCGAAATACTAAAATTTTAACTGTGTGCATGAAAACAAAATTACAAATACGAAATGTTAAAAAAAAAATTAAGCAATAATTATCTGTAAGGAATTAAATTCCAATTTAATAATTCTGCTGTGTGTGGAATAAATCAAAACAAGGATTGGCACACAGGACAGTTATGCCTTTTTTTTTTTTTTTTTTTTTTTTTTTTTGCAAGCATATGAAGAGCAAGTAAGATGCATCATGCATCAGAAAAGCTGATGTCTTTCCTTCTGTAGTAGTGCTGTAAAGTTACTTTTTAATTAACCAAGGCAGTCTATTTTAAGTTTTAAAATAAATATAAAAAGGACAACTGGTCGGAGTTTTTCCATCACGCAAGTTCGTCGATGTTACACCCCTTATAGTCAACTAGACACATTTTCCCACATTCCTCTAGCAAAAAAGCCCACATAAATGAAAACATTTAGCTGTATGCACTTCCCCACATTCTAATAATGGAAAACGAAAAGAATTCAAATGAAGATAACAACAAAAAGAAATTCCTAACAAAATAGGCAAACACGTGCTGTCCCCTTAACTTAAAAGAGCTGTGATTCCCATTGTGTTTATACCAATAAATATATCAAAACCAAAAGCACAGAAGAAAAGCTGATGCTAATACATGAAGGTCAAAACCCACACAATTTAACCGATGGGAAAACCGTTACCATTTATCACCAGCCACTGGCATTTAAAAATTCAAAAAAATCGTTCAGTTTTTAAGTTACACATACACGACGCTGACCTGAATGCGTATGAGTGACGCTGGAACTCTTTGCATATAAGCGATGCTGGAACTCTTTGCGTATAAGCGACACTGGGCTGGTAAGAGTGGAATCGTTGTGCCGCACCTTTGCAACGTTGTTTCTGAATGGGTTAACAGTGAAATCACAAGGCTGAACAGTCAGCTCTTCGTACACACTAAATAAAGTGGCAGCTCATTAGCAAAAGTATGCTGTGTTATTTGATGTACAGGCTTACCAATGGCTGAGAGACTAGGGCTGCCAAATAAAGGTAGTTTAAATGGGGTTTGAATACTAACAAATGGGATGGTTGTGTAAATGTTTTTATGGTTTTCTTTAAGAGTAATGAAGCTGCAAGGTTGTTTTTCGTAAAAAGCTCTTCTTTAAACAGACAGCCCTATTGTGCTTTGCTGCCTTCAGTTGAGCAAACGTAACCATGTATCCACATTAATGCATAATTCCCATTGTTTTACGCTTGTCAAAATGCATTATGAACATTCACACCCTACGTTTTAAAAAACTAGTCAATGGGTTAAGAAGAAACAAGTTTCATGTATAGGTAAAAGTGACCACAGTAAAAGAAAGTTCGAAGAATTAAAAAAGAAAATGCAAATTTTTCGCTTTCTCAGTATATTTTCAGCTCAGTTATGTATTTTATTAATGTATAATGTACATGGTTTAAATTTATGGAAAGTTAATAAAAAATAACTCTTGGGCAGTTATGGTAAGTAAATGATATAGGTAGTTATTATGACTGAAGATCTTTCAATATAAACTAATTTTATTAGCATCATGTGCGTCGAACTATAAAAACATAAACATGGATGGAATTCCAATCTCTCTCTTTTTTGTTGCCAATTGAATAACTAGTTAATTAGGAAAGGCAACAGAATGTGGGAAATACAAGATGAGTGGCAACATTCTTCCACCTTTTGTATTGCATACAAACGTTTTAAAGCAATACAAAACATAAACAAATTATAACAGATTTACGTTACAAAACCAAATAATCTTATATGTGACATTGCAAAGTAAAGGTTATTAACAATTCACAAATTCAGTCTTTTAGCAGGAATTAATGGGAGGCCATATCAAGATTTCTTTCGTTCCTCGAGAACATCAGATGCGGTAGGGCCCATGTTTAGCTCAGTAAAATCAGTTCCTTGTTCCTCACTGATAGGATCACTAGCACTGAGCTGCGTAGGATAAATTCGTTGTAGTGGTCATATAATTTCACCACTGGCTAGTCGCAACTTGGCCACACGTTCCACGCCATCCTTGCTTGGAAACAATTCGATTACCTGAGCCAGAGGCCAATTCATTTGGTTTGGGTTCGTTGATTCAACTATGACTATTTCTCCTGGAGAAATCATCTTTCTTCTTGAATCTACTTTGGGACTTCTTATTAATTCTGCAAGGTATTCTTTGTAGAAACATTTGCATAAGTCAATCCTAAGGTGTGAAGGTAACGCACCCGTTTTAATATATGCTGAGAATCAATCAGATCCAAATCAAATGTGTCTTTTATATCTTGAATGAAATGAGCTGGTGTAAGAGGTTTCGGCTCCTTTGGATCATCTGACAAATATGTCAGTGGTCGTTCATTTCTTGTTGCCTCACAATCGTAAAGTCAACATTTCTTCATACGTTACGCAAGTTTTGCTCAAACTGTTTCAGAGGAGTCCCAAAATCCACTGTACCATAAGGCGGAAGGCATGATAACAACCATTTTATTTTCATTAAAGAACATTCAACTTGAATGAAATCCCAATCCAAAGATTTCAAAGCATTTGCTGCTCCTAAGTTTGCCATTTTCAGTGTATAGAGTAGAACCTCTTCTTTTTGCCCAGAATCTTCTCAGAGCTTGCATAAACGCTTCGGTGGAGAGAGATGAAACTAGTTTTAGATGGACTGCTCGATATACTGCACATGTGAATAGAACTATTTAAGCTTTCTACATTTACCATGTATCTCTTATGCTCAGAAGCAGGAGAAATTCCTCTGTCAAATAGTCCTTGAGAATATATTTCTCTTCCAGAGGAAGAAAGGTTTAATTCTGCAGCTAAATTCCGATATAGGATCGCTGCGACCCACTGTCCAACAATGCTCGAACACAGACTTCCTTGTCGCCGTTTCGTAGTCTGATCATAATGGTTTTGAGATATATTTCGTGTTCAGAAGGAAGATTTGTTAGCAATGTTTCTGTAAATTTCTGCTTATTATCGGCTGTTCTGTCCTTAGACGAAAACTTTTCCTTTCGTAAATCTGGGCAAAGGAATACGTAATGTCTCCGTTGACAAATTAAACATCTCGCATTACTCTAACACTTTCTTGCCATGTGTCCTGACTTAAGGCAAATGAGACAGCATCTTTTCTTTATAATTTGTGATTTTATGTCCCCATTAAGTCATAATGGATAATTTTTGACAGTCTTTACTTAGATGAGAGCATTCACAGAAAATACAATTAAGTTTTGCTGCAGTTGTGCATAATGTAGCTGCAGTGGGTTCATCTTTGTGGACCGATTTCGGACAATCTTTCTGAATAGCACCATTTCCCCTATCTTTACTGAATCCTTCATGAGCTAAACATATCATCTCTTCTGATTCAACTCCATGGCGTAAAAAGCACGTCAGTCTTTCCAGGGATCTTCGACTTGTAGCTTCATCAATATTTTCTGAAATTCTACTCCTTTCCCATACTCTCAGAACATTTTCTGACAAACATGACTCCACCAATGGCTTTAAAATGTTAGCAAATTTTTCTTTTGTGCACCCTAAACTTTCCAATTTTCCTCTTAATTTTGTGTCTAGCATATCGTAGAGGGTGGCTAAATCAGGAACATTTTTCCTGGCCATAGCATTTTTCAGAACCAGTGAAAGGAGATCGCGGACATATTTTTGCACTAGGAGATCCTCCTGGCCAAATTCACGTATTGTACAGCCTTTGGATAATTTCCAGCTGTTATTGGGAAACTGGATATTAATCTAGCAGCTTTTGAATCAGGCATCATAGACTGGAATAAACCCTGGAATTTGTGTATAGCAATCAGTTTCTCTCAGTCATGTATTTTTTAAAAAATACTCCAAAATGTTAAAAATTCTTTGGGATCATCCGAAAACATTTTTAATTCAAATTTAGTTAATTTTACCACATCACACTCTGTAGAACTTTCCGAAAAAGATCCAGAATCTTTATTTAATAGCGTTTCTATCTTTGATTTAAGCTCAAGCTATTTATTTCTATAATCCTCTGCCACCTCAGAATCAGTTTTGTATTCAGCAACAGCCTCAGTATTTTCTGAAAGTAATGATAAAATGTTATTCTGAATCTCATCTAAATGTAAAAATTTATCTTGTAACTGAGCGTTCAGTGCGCACAGCTTATCGCCATCCTTGGCATCTAGTTTTGCCGTTAAATATTGCTTCATCTTATTCACCGTAGCTGTAAATGAAGCTCTTAACAACTTTTGTTTTATTTTCAGAGCATCCATATTTATATGTACACTTAAATAGTTACTTAAAATGATTCATAATTAATTCTTAATTTCTGTTTATACTGAAGAAATTAAAGTGATTATACTTTCTTAAACTTAAATCGCTTTTATCATCGTAAACAGCATATTGTATACTTAAAAGCGGTAATTTAAATCATTCGTACCTGTACACTTTTATAATTTCAAATTCTGAATTCTTCAAATGCAGAATACAAACTCTGTCATGTCACCGGACGCCACTTTATTATGACTGAAGAAGATCTTTCATTATAGATTAATTTTATTAGCATCATGCATCGTATGTGGAACTATTAAAAACATAAACATGGACTGAATTCCAATATCTCTCTTTTTTTCCATTGCCAATTCCACCAACTCAATAACAACTTAATTAATTAGAAAGGGCAACAGGAAGTGGGGAAATAAAAGATGAGTGGCAACAGTAGTAGTGTTATTTTAAGGGGGAGAGTGGCAGTCATAATTGAATTCAAAGAAATGAATTACAGATACTTGTGATAGTAGAGGGATTTGTTATTACATCACACAGTTGAAGTGTAAGCTAACTTGCTGCATGTGCCATACAGGCAGTTTTGCATATATGGAATTCTGAAATGGATTCATCAAAAGAGAAACTGAAGCTGTTATTAGGTGGCAGAACAATCTTATCATTCATCTATGGATATCAGTATCTCATGATTTTGCTACTAGTCAGATAGGTAGGATATGTAATAGAATTGCTCCTTCTTCATGACTTGATACAGCACCTGCTCCTTTTTGTGCCATGTGTGTATGTTCATAATTTTCCTGATAGTCGTTATTGCTTCCCTGGCAACTGATATTATTCACTTTCCAAAATTCTTTTTGGAACTGATATTATTCACTTTCCAAAAGTAAAATTCAGCTGATTTTGAATTGACTACTATTTCTAGGAAATCATGTCAAGAGAAATTGGTATCTATTTGCTTGCAATATATTTGTCGTGTTGTAGCAAAAAAGTATGCTTCTGTTTTTTTTTTTTTTTTTTTTTTCCAGCACTGTGTTATTGTATTAAATATTCAAACTAAATTTTTGTTTTATTTCAATGTGTACAAACTGTTTGTTACAGACAATTTTTATTATTTTCTAGAATGAAGAATTTTTAGCATTCAAAGATAAAAGACCTGCTACATCACATCATTACTTAGTTATTCCTAAAAACCATGTGAAAAATCCATCAACTTTGCAATCATCAGATGTTAGTCTTGGTGAGATTGAATTAAATATAATTATTATTTTAGACCTAGTCTGAATATTATGTTTTAAACACTAGTTTTTTCATCTAAATATTGTAATTTATATTAAATTATCATAAATTAATTAAAAATGTTTAAATAATATGATTAAGATATATTATTTCATGAATCTACATCAGCACTAAATACGTACCTTATTACAGCTGCGTATTCAGTGTCCATTTAGCAGAGTCCTGCAAACTTGACCTAATGTGCACTGACCGACTATTGAGCTTCCGAAAAGTCGAGTTTTACAGAATAAGGGGTGGGTTTTTCAGAACTCTTTAATGTTTAACCTTTTCATGGATGTGATATTATTTTTTATAATGTTTTAACTAAAAAACTCTAGAAATCGAATATTAGGATCCTAGAGACAAATTGTACTTGTATATGAATTTAAAAAACATCTACTCTTGCCCATTGAACTGTGGGTGGTGGTACCGCTTTTTCCATCTGTTGAGCTAGCCAGAACTAGCAGTAAATCCAGGCTCTCCTTCTTGAAATTCATCATAAAATTTTAGGCCTTTCTCATGTAAAATACGTCCTATGGGTGTTTCCTTTACTGTCTGAACCACAAATAAAGCGTCTTACTCACTTTTTTGTAATAACCATCTTTCATACTTTTTCTTTCCTTTCAACTATCCGTACATGACCTTTTCACACACCAAGACACGATTTTGGACCTCTTCTTTTTCTACCCTATCAAAAAAGTCCATCCAGTACTACTTCCATGGTAATTTTGTTTACACTTTCCCCTTTGTCTAGTCTCTTTAAGTCATCTAGTTTCATTTCCATTGACACGTTAGTTTGGTTTCTTTTTGAATGACATTTTCACTTCACAGACTATCAAAAGTTCCCAAAAGTATGTAACACTTATACGCCTTGATGCGAACTGAGGACCAATACCCATAATGAACTGATGTGAGTTTAGTTTGCAATAAGATGATGATTTGATATGTTGTATGTGTTAGTGAATATGATATGTGAAAGGATATTTTCTGTGCCAGCCCTTGCTAAAAGATTGAAACAAAATATATACAGTGAAATTTTTAAAAAGTAATTTGCTTGTTTCAATGGTACTTTCAAGACAAAAGAATAGTTTGGCAAAAGGTATGGTCACTAAACATCTTTTGTGTTCGTGGCATTCCTAATCTGATAGTTCCTTTTCAAAAATGTGGAAAACCAAGGTCATTTGCTAACTTACTGCTAATAGACTGAGCAGAAAAAGAAAATAAAAGGGATTTTATCCAAGTAGGAAAACATAAAGAATGTGTCTGTGGCATAGCTTTCGCCCCTCTGCATGTAATCATATGGAACTGAACTTGCACAAAAAGTCTGAAAGAGCTAAGAAATGCACTTATCGAAAAATTCTTGGAAGTGTTACTTATATCTTGTGACAAAAGCCTGCCATAGTAGATAGGAGTAACAGATTACATAATCAGTTTTCTATGGATAAGACATGCCTGCATAGTAAAAATAAGTGCATGAGAGTGGAGGCAGTGTTATATTAAGAATAACTTGATTTTTCAATCTAATTATGAGAATATACCTCAAAATGCTCTGAAATGCCCCCCCCCCAAAAAAGCTGTAAAAACTTAAAAAATGCTTTAAATGAGCAAAATACTCAGAAAATGAAAAGAAAAAAAAGCACGTTGTCAAATTCCGGGTCTTATGCGAGGGGGCGCAAGGCCGCCGCCGGCCAAAAGAAAAAGGGCGCACGCAAGGGATCGAAAAAAATACGCCGCCCAACGAAGCACCGCCAGCGAACAAGCGCATGTTCCGCTGACAAAAGCAGGGCGGCGGGTACGAGTGCTACTAGGCCCCGCCAAATATCAGCCCAGAGGGGCAAAGTAACACTCATAACATCAGCAGCGCTAACAGCTCCCAGCAGAAGCAAAAGGAGAGCTGGAGCCTAACCTCTTAAGAAAAAAAAAAGTTAATGCTAAAAGAAACCCTGTCATAAAGACTGAAATGGGTTTCACTAATCCCCCTGCTTCAAATGCAAAAAAAGGGGGGAAAATGTGTATGCAGAAAGCTAAAGCATTAGTGCAGCCAGCATGCAAGTTAGACTGTCCCAACATGCTACCATAACTAAACACTTATAGAATTGTCAATAACATCCTGATAGAAAAATTTATGTACTGTGATTTTACTAGGAAATTTTCAATAATTTTACAAGGAAATTTTGTAATAATTCATTGACATTAATTGTTTTAGTTCTATAATTTTATTAATTATGATAGCATGTTTTATAGTGGATAAGTCTTATGATGATGTAAGTACTTATTGTATGTGTTTAAGTGTTAAAAAAGAAAGTCCTCTAAATCATGTGGGTAGGAGAAATTCATGAATAGGTATAATTTGAGATAAATGAAATGTAAAAAAATTAGTCAAAGGGAATGATGATATGGAAGGTGATTGAACTTCAGAATTGCATTCAATTACTTTTTCTGTTATTTAACAATAAAAAATTAGTTTAAAGGTAATCTTTATTATAATTATCATTACATCACATGTTTACAGGTTAATATTTAATTATTAGCTGTCACATTGAATTTTAAATTTAGTTATGTTCTCTTCCATTGAAGGAAGTGTTTGCTTTCAGTGACATAGCTAGTATCAGATTTGTTAATGTTGAAGGTTGTAAAATGTTTTAAATCGGGAGAGACTGAACTTTGGTAGTACGACCTAGGCATATATTTTCTTGAAATGTTTGGCTGCTTAAAGTCTGTATGCTTTTTTCACGCAAAATAACATATAGGCAAATTAAGCTGTCATAACCAGGTCCTCAGAAGCATTCCTTTTTTAAACAGATAGCTTCTGTCCTTTGCCGTAATCAATTGATCCAATCTAACCTAAATCAGGAGCCATATTTTGCCATCATAAAATGCTTTTGAAAAAGGCATATAATTAGATATTTTTGAAGATGCATGCCTGACTTGGAGAAACCTAATGCATAGTGACTCTAGTAATCCACAAAATGCCTAACATAACTAGGAATTTTTATAGAACTATGAAAAATTGCTTAGATTACTGATTTTAACTGTATGAGAATTCTCAGTGTTTACATATTCTTGCAACTAACCAATTAACAATTTTTTACAGAAGAAAAGGAATAATGAATGCAAAACATTACTTTATCACATACATTAATATTATTATGTTGATGTGTTACATTTAATATGGTATTTATCCCCAAAATCAATCAATAAACCTACTTACAAGTTTTTTTTTTAATCTGATGGATGTTTTATAGTGATTACTGTAACAGATTCAAAATAATCATTCCGTTTAGTGATTTTGCAGCAAAATCCTGTGTTTCTGTTTCTGCAGGCAAATTACATGATCACATAGTCTAAAATAGAGTTTAAGGGGGAATCATAATTTGCCTTTAAAAAAGTGTTTAAACTTGGAATACTATGAAAAGAATTCAAAATGACGACATTCCTGAGCTGAAGAAATGTTTTTAGCATGGTTCTCTGAAAAACTGTTATGTACATTCCTGCCAGAGTTTGGTGCATTCTGAAAATTTGGCAGTTTGTAGTAAAGGGATTGTACTAGTATATAATTGCTGAATCTTCTTGGTGTAACAGTTTGCGAAGCTTTTTGATGCATAAGAACAATTTTGTATGGGATAACGTAGGTACCTAAGCAATAATTTAGGGAAACTAGAGTAATGCTGTAATATAAGCTAACGGGAATATGATGTAAAACCAAAGATTCATGAAAGGTAATTCTATAAGTGAAAATTAGAGGTATCACTTATTACATTGGTTGGGAATGTTATGGAATTCTTACTGAGTTATAAATGAATAAATCAACTTGTATACTCTTTTATACACTTTTATGTTACTAAAAAGTAAACCTTGACTAAGTTTTGAAGTTACTGTGATTTTTATTCATCTCCTGATGCCTTGCTTGTAGGGGGAAGTTCATCAGTTTCAAACATAATAAATTGCTTTTTATTTTCAGGTCAGTGAAGGTCAATTTTGAGCATAAGTAATCCAAATTTAGGGTATATTTTTTTGTTTCTTACCTTGTATGTGTATGTAAATTCCTGTTTGTTTAAGGACCAAACAGCATGGCTGGAAATTGCACATACCACATGTAACTTATGTATGATATTTAGGCAGTATGGGCTACTTGCTGCTGTCTGCTTGAGATATAACGGATGAACTTGGAGTCTTCACCCAATTACAAAAATGTATTGCATAAAAACTACTATAATTAGACGTATCTAGTTTTTGGAAATTATAACTGCAGTAATTGTGCTTTTTATGAACAGTACTTTAATTTTGATGTGGTTGCTCTCACTGCTCCCTTCAAATCTAGAAACAAATATATCCCAATACATATGCAGTATTAAGGATGAATCATCTTTGTAATTCACAGGCTTTACTCTGTTTGCATTGTTATAAATGTATATTGTTGCGATTTCTTCTACAATGAGTGTGACTTATGTATAACATTCATTTACCCCTGTATAAAATGTAGAAGTGTGAATTTGAATACCTATAATAAAGCTATGAAGTTTGAAAATATATTAATGTGTAATACAAGCATATATTTTTATAATCTGAGTGTCTTTCTCTTTTTATGTGAGTAGTCAAAACCCTAGTAGAAATTGGAAAGGAAATCTTGATGAATGAAAATGTCAGTTTAGATGATGCAAGGTAAACAGTTATTGAAGTTATCCTGTTTAGAAATATATTAAATGATCTTTTGAATTTAATGTTTTGTGATTATAAGCATGGGTGTACTGCTTATTTCAAAAGAGCTCATATAATATTTTTTTTTTCCAATTTTGGAGTTTTTTTTTTAAATGGCTTTAAGGAAAACATAATAAATACTTACTTTAAATTTAACCTATTAAAACATGTATTCAGTTGTATAGAGTTGGTTGAATTTTCAAAGTTTTAAGAATTGGGAGCTTTTATTTACTATAATTTACTGCAATAAAAATAATCTGAACTGTTCTTTGCCTATGATTTCAAATGCTTTTTGTGAAAAGAGTCAATTTTCCAATTAGTGAAATGTTTTACTTATGCAGCAGCAAATCTGTTTAATAAAAATCAAGGATTAAAACATTATCTTCCAAAGGATTGTGGACATAAAATTTTGCATAAGATTGCTGTATCGTTCATTGTGGACGAAAATGTATGCTAGCTTCTAAATTAACCAATTTGGGCTTGATGTATTTTGGAAGAAAAGGAGTCAAGGTACAAATTGAGAGAATCAATTTGAAATTATATTCAAGAAGATACCACTTATTCATAACATATTATTGCACTTTGAAATTTCATGTCCAAAGCCAGAATGAAAATTTGAAAACCAGAATTTGAAAGAATTAATATGGATTACCCAACTATAGATGTAATATGTAAAAAGGTTGCTTGGATAACATGTTATTTTTATCAAAGTCCTAAACTATATCATTAGCTTATTTTTGTAAATTGTTATGTTGTATCAGTCACTTTTCAAAGGAAGAACTCCATTTGTTACTTCATTTTGAACGTGTATTTTTATTCTGTTTTTTTTTTTTTTTTTTTCTCTCTCTCTCTCTCTACCAAACTTGTTCATTTTCTGAAATTACTTCACCTGATATTGTGGTATCATAAAAAATAATATGGTGTTTAGCTGTCTTTTTCATATGTTTGTGTATCTATATGCTTTCTTTGCTTTGCTTTCTCTCTACAAAACTGTGCTTATGTTAAGCTCTGTCGGCTCATTTTTAAATGGTTTCAACTGTGCCCAAGTAGCAAAATATTTTATTAAATATATATATATATATATTTGAGTTTTCAAGCACTGAACTCTTAAGCCTGATCCAGTGCTGGAACTGTTAAGCCTAATCGAAATTAAGACTTGATCAGCATTCTGTTAAGCCATTTTTTTTTCGCTTGCTCAATCTTGTTTTGGCAGCGAGAGACTGTATTACATTATTTCGCATTTGACTACTATAGAAAAGCTCGGAAAAGTAATTTTGGCAGCTGGAAATTATGAATAGAAGCTGTATTAGTTAAAAATGACCATTGGGGTTATGTGACTGGTAAAGAACTGAAACCTGCTGAAGGAACTGAAGCCAAAAAGAAATGGCTCCAAGCTGATCAAAAAGCTCATGCAAGCATAATTCTTTTTATTAATCCCTGTGACTTGTGTCATAAAAAGCATTGGACATCAAATGCTGTATGGAATAAACTCAAAGCTGTGTATGAATTGAAAGGACCTTCGAAGAAGGCTACTCTGTTAAAACAGCTTTTGTTTAGAAAAAGGGTGGAAAGCGAAACGATGCCTGAGCATTGCAACAATTTCTTCAAATTAATTGATAAGCTTAAAAAAGTGGAAATTGACATAGCTGATGATTTATTATTGATTCTTCTGCTCATTTTGTGAAAAATTCCAGAAAGCTTTGAAATTTTGTAGAAGTTCTAGAAAAACTTTGAGAATTTTAGATGTGCCATCAAATCAAGAGATGAATTACCTATTTCCAAATCTTTAAAAATCAAAATGCTTGAAGAGAGGGAAGCAAAGAAAGGGAAAACATCTCAAAATTCACAAAATCTGCACTATACTGAAAATAAAAGAAATCAAGAACAAAAGAAATATGAAAAATGGAAGGTAAAGTTTAAAAAAAAAATTTCCTGCTGAAAGAAATTTTCGAAACTTGAAGTGTAATGACTGTTCAAAAATGCGGACTGAAAATATACACAATCAAATAAGGGAAATCAAGGTTCTATGATGGCTTCTAATTATGAAGAGCAAATTGGTTTAGCAGTAATGCTTATCAGCAGATTTTCTCCTGGTGGTTAGATGTGGCTGTACATCTCACATATGCAATGAGAGAAGGTTATTTTCAGAATTTCATCCTCGAACGAGGTCAAACATCAAGTTAGCTGTTCACAAAATGGCAAAAATTACAGGAACTGGAACTGTCCTTATAATAGTACCTAATAGAAATATGACTACTAATGTTACTATCAGGAATTTGCTATGTATCCCAGACTTAAAATGTAATTTACTGTCAACATATAAAGCTACCGCAAATCATTCAGTGATTTTTACAGAACAACATACTAAAATAATAGAATCGAATGGATCGATTCTAGTGGAGGCTATTCGAAATTTTGATCTTTATATATGCAAGCACTGAAACAGTAGCACAGGTAAGTGATTTTGTAAAGTAGTATCTTAAATATCTTATAATTTAAAAAGTCTTATTGCTAATAACATGGTTAGAAATTTAAATTTTAATAATATTAAATCTCTAAAAGACTGCAAAGTGTGTATCCAAGGTAAACAAACTGTTCAACCTTCCAAAAAAGAAATCAAAATTTCAAAGTCTTGAATATTGAATTTGATTCATTCAGATTCCTGTGGGCCTATGAGAGTTCCATGCCATGCTGTTTCACATTATTATGTTACCTCCATAGATGACAAATGGTGTTATGTCAAAGTTAGTTTTTTTTTAAACTAAAAGCAAAGTGAAAAATGCATTCATTAAATACAAAGCTGCAGTTGAAAATTATCTGGGAAAGAAAATAAAAGTCCTTTGTACCAATAACAGTCTCAAATATCATGGAGAAGAATTCAATAAATATCTTCAAAAATGCAGGATTAAACGGGAATTCTTGGCACCTGTGACTCCCCAACATAATTTGAGAGCTTAACGCATGTATCGTACTTTATCTGAAATGACCAGATGTCTGTTACTACAAAGCAATCCTTTCCCCAATAATTTTGGGGCTGAAGCCTTGAATTGTGCTCTTTACATAAGTAATCATTGCCTGAATCAAAACCTGGGAGTAAACAAGACACCATATGAAATATTTATTGGCATCAAGACAACTGTATCTTACTTCAAAGTATTCAGACAGAAATGTTTCATACTTAATAAAAGGTCTAAAGGGAAGTTTGATCCTTGGTCAGAAGAATATATATTTGTAGGATGCTCAAATGAATTGAAAGTTTACGGGCTGGGGAATAAAATTTCCAGAAAAATTATTATATACCGAGATGTTAGATTTATTGATGAATTTGAAAACTGTAATAAAGATTTGGAAGTTTTATTTCTTGAAATTATTCCTGATAGAAAGAAGTAAGAACCTTTGAATGTAAAGCAAATATCGGCTGATGAGATAACAGAGGGTACCTCTAATATGGCAGAAGCAGCTGCAGAGTCATCTGATAATGAAGATTATAATTCCAAAGCAATACCGGAAAGGCAGATTACTGCAGTATAAACATAAGAAAGGAAGAAGCATAATTTACTGAAGAAATCCGACATTAGAAGAAGCATTTAATGGATGTTATGCTGAAGATTTGCATAAGGCTATGTAAAGTGAATATGATGCACTTGGTGCAAATGGTGCATGGAAATTAGTAAAATGACAGCAAAAAAAAAAAAAAAAAAGAATAGGATGTCATTGGGTTTTAGAATGAAATATAATGCAAATGAAACATTTCAAAAGAGGAAAGCTTGATTACTTGCCAGAGGATTTGCACAGGAACCTGGAATTGATTTCAATGAAACCTTTGCTCCAGCAGACAGAGCAAGCTGTATAAGAACTGTGATTGCATACATTGCTAAACAAGACCTTATTCTATATTAATCAGATTTTGTTATGTATGTTAACCTTTTAACTGTCATGCCCGAGATAATCTCGGGCACAGCACTGGTGTTCGAAAATGTCACGCCCGAGTATTACTTGGGGTAATTTTTTTTGAGTGCATTGTATTGTTATACCCGAATATATATCGGGAGATGTTTATTTCATCTTCATCTCTTTGTCAAACCCGACTGTATTTCGGGAAAAGTTAATGAGCGCTCAGTTCAATAGATGACAGCACTTTACTGAAGATTTCAAAGGTTAGAGTTTATTTGGTTCAAGGTGCATGGGATCTTTTTGTTGTAAAATAGCATCCAGTTCTTTGAAACGTTATATAGATGATTTAGATTCTTCAACCGAAGATGAAGGATGTGTGTTTGATGAGCAGTATTCATGATACTTCCATGGTCAGCCTCAAAAATAAAAAATGGCGATAAAAAAAAAAAAAATACTCAAGTCCGAAGATTTGTTTCTGACTACATGGTCTAACTATGGGTGGTGTAGATCGCTGTGATCAGGAAATATCCTTTCATCCAACAATCAGAAAATGTCAGAAAAATATTATAAAAAGATATTTTTACATTTACTAGACAAGGTACTCTGGAACTCATATTTGCTCTATAAAAATGTAGTTGAGAAACATATTACATTTTTAGAATTTCGAATCCAAGTTGTAGAAGAGCTTTTACATAAATATGATGATGCAGCTTCTGGACAAAAGAATGTTGGCAGACCACCTACGATAGATAACCCTGCTCGTCTTACTGAACGACATTTTATATCCCATTTTCCTCCTATTCCTGCAAAACGTGAGCCTACAAGACAGTGCAAAGTGTGTTGTTCGAAAAAGGATAAAAATGGGGAAAAGATAAGGAAGGAATCACGATTCTGGTGTAGTGATTGTGGAGTTGGTTTGTGCTTGGAAAAGTCTTTCCAGTTGTACCACACAAGACTGAATTACTGGACTACTAATAGGTATTCACTTATATTTATTTATGTTTTAGAAAATAGTTAATTTTTTTCATTTTTAGAAAATAATGCTCCATTAGAAGCGAACTTTGCAACTG